ACTTTCATTCAGAAAATGACAAATGATAAGTGTATAAATCAAAAGAATGAAGTAGAGCAGTAAACAGACTACAGCATATGAAATTATTGTATTGGCCGTAAGAGAAAGTGTACCCAGGGCCTGTAGGTAAGAGATAACAGTCTTTCCCTTAGTTCCAAAGATTCTTATCTCCACTGTGCAAATTTCCTCTTGCCAGAGATTGCAGTCTGGTTATGAATGAAAGATCTGAGAGGAAGGTAACAGGCCCTGACATGCACACGTTTCTGCTCAGTGCATTACAACTTAAACATAGGTATAAATAAATGAATATAAAAGTATGAAAATATTTCTCTCATTTAGCATTACCTTCATTTAGTCTTTGTTCCACTCAGACAGTTCCTTCTGCAATTATTTACATTTGGGTTATTTTGAACAGGCAGCCAGAATATAAAACAGAAACAGTCACCAGTGAAATTTCAGAGTTACACATTCAATTTTTTCCACATATTTCACATATTGCAAGACTACCAGTATTTAATCTGCAACTGAAGCAAAAAAGGATGCTTTAGATCATACTCAGGTTTAAAATTTATGCATGTTGCCCAATAAACAAGACTTTACAGACTGTACACCATAGCACTCTTCTTTCTTCATCAGTATAGAAAGTCAACTGGACTTTCATTCTTTAGAGAGGCAGACGCATTTTCCAGCACATAGCTAACTTCAAATTCATCAGCTATTAGCATTCTCCAAAAACATCTCAATCACTTTTTTGATGAAAAAGAAAAAAGCAATCTATAATGCAGTGAATCAGATTGTTACACATTGCGTATTTCTATATAAAAACTGTCAGTGAACATTTCTGTAGCTTTCTTCCCAGTTACTAAAATCCTATTATAACTATTATTCCGATTATTAAATTTGTAGAGAAGAAATACTGTGTCATTAGGACCAAAATTTCTTAAGGGGCATATTCATTAACAACAATTTCAAGAATTAGACCAATCACACCTAAGTTTGCAGAAGTTTCATCCTGCAAGAGTGTTGATGTTATAATTTTGTGGCGGATAAAATCTTTCCATTGAATACCTGAGCTCCTGCTCAAGTAAAAAAATTTGTCATGAACATAAAACATTAAGAAATGGCATTTTCTTAATGTAGCATTGCACATTTTTCTCTTGCATATACACTGACCGTATTCATGAACGGGCCTATGGGAAAAGAACAGCAAACAAACAAGATTGGATAAATCTGAAAGATTTCCATTTCCTTGCTACCAAAGAAGCTGTTGCACAGCTCCCAGGACATCTGCAGAGGCAGGTCTGTTTTGAAAGTGGAAGAAGCACTGACAGCATGGGGTGGGAAACACCAGTGCAGGCAGCATGAACTCTTTCCACCAGTGAGAAAAGCGGTGCTTTGTGATTACCCTAGTTCTCCCTCAGGCATCCAAACCCATCAGGCTTCCCTGCCAAGCTCCTGTCACCCATTGGCAACCGTGTTAAGAACGGTCTACATCTCAGTATTATTAGAATAAGCTAGTTTTAGTTATAGAAATGTGAATTTGGCAGTATTGCTACAAGCATACACAAATTATACAAATCAATTACTATTGGAAAAACAAACTGGCTTATATTTACCACTGATCAATGATACAGCAGAATACTTAACGACACCCAAGCATTTACAGAACATGCAAGTTGAGCCAACAAAATACAAAAACTCAAGAGTCTTGGACATGTACCTAGAGCTCTTTAGCTGATGCCTCTGGACTCTGATGAGTTTACTGTGTATGTATCACACACCCATGACTATCAGCTGTAACAAATGAATCCTTCAATGCAGCTTTAACATGAGATGAAGAATGGAACAAATAATTAAAAAAGACATTCATTTACAGAGGGTTGGAACTATTAAAAGAAAAAAGATGACAGAATAAAAACTGCACTCGATGTAGCTGCAATAACTCACATCCATAAGTCCTTCAAGTAGTAACATGACAAAGTTTTTGGTAAAGTGACCTCACCAGAATAGACTTGTGATAGAACTAGATTGAATCATGCAGATCATTAGCTGAACAAGCCGTTTCCTTTCCAATAATGTTTTATTTTGCAAGCTTTCAAGAATACTGTCCTTCTGGTTTTCTCTACATTTTTCTGGGGAAGTTTATAGGTCTTTTCAAATTCAAGATTTTCCACCTATATTTTTCCCAAATTAGAAGTATTACTAAACGATCAGTCACTTGGTCTTTATCAATGTACAGCATAGCACATGTTGCTGTAACATGTTTACATGCATGTACGTTGCTTACAGCAAATACAAAATCATGCCATTTGCACAAAATCTCTTTCACCCCAACTAGAGAATTCCTACCTCATGACTGGAGAAGAGCCGAACTCCTTCCATCTGATGGAAGACTGGGTAGTGGGTGTTATCAATTGTATCACGGCGGTAGACATCTCCCACTGCCAGAAAGGCATCTAGGCCAGAGTGTATCAAGTCCCACTGATGAGCTGATGTATGTGCTCTTAGCATGTGATCACGATTCAAGTAGTAGTTATCCTCTTTCCTTCTGCTAGCATGGTTTTGTGGGATAAGCAAACTATCAAAATTCTGCTGTACTGTAACCACTGGAGAAAGACTGTCATAGACAGAAAAGAGTGGAGTCCCACGGCGTCCTGTATATTGTTTGTAAAAGTGGTCCTTCACCTGCTCCTTGATTAGCCACAAAGGGTGATGCTTTCTGTTGTGCAAGTTCTTCCCCACCTTGGAAAGAATCTTCTCTGTGACATTGCTGTAGTCATCCTGAGGATAAGCTTTACCAAGCAGTTCCACAGTATTTGAGCAGGGTGTGTTGGGAGCAAAATCTGAAGGTGCAGACTTAGATGAAGAGTGCTTCGAATGGGTGGGAATTCCTCTTACCTTTACTTTTGGTGATAAAGCTGTTTTAGAATACTTAGCTACTCTCATGAATTTCCAGAACATTGCCATTGCAAACTCTTGTATGATCTAGAGAAAGAAAAAGAAACCAATTAAAAAATTAGTTAGGAATTGCAATCTTGCTGCAGGAATTGCTAGTATCTTAGAGATAAGTGAAACCCAAATGTCTGCTTGAGTAATATGACAAAGTTCCCATTTATAAACTTCAGAGGAGGGAAAATACCCTTGTGTTCAAACATGAGCTAGGATATCTTATTCAATTATCAGTCTTCTGCATCACTGCATCAGTATTAATGACTCTAGCCTAGCCTTAACCCTATTCTAGATACTGCTGCTCTTCCCAGTTGAATAAACATCAGGCCTTCTTTGAAACGGTATTTTTCATCCAGTTAAAATATGAGGCAATAACTGAACACTACTTATGAGAAAGAAATTTAACAACACCCTTCAGCAGTCAGGGACTTGCTTATAATAAAACCTCAAGCATTAACTGACTGTTGTATCATCTCCCCCCATTAGCAGAAGCTACAAAAAGCATTCCACACCAACCAGATGCATGTGGCACACACTATGCAATCATCACTAATTCTAACTTAATGCCAAACAAAACCAGTTTAACCTTTCAAACCACTGAACCACTGTGAAAAAACAGATGGCCAGACCGCAAGGCATATATTTATATATAAACAGCATATTAAGTTCACATATGAGTACTGCGCAAGATTCACAATAAAGCCTCCACATAGTCAGAACCAATCTTAGCACTTTGGGGTGAGCACAAACCCCCTTTTCCATATGTTCCCAGAATGGCTATTTTCATGGCTTACACTGCTGTACCAGGTATGGAGGCTTGCCAAAAATCAGGCAGGTGAATGAAGTGAGGAGATTCTAAAAGATACCTGAACTGAACAATTTGTTTCCTATCCAAGGGCCATCTTTACCCATCCACCCTGTTTATAAACAGGCCTTGTACTTCATGTGTACACAGCTGCATTACTCTGTAGTGCTCAAAGAGATAATTCCAAAACTAGAGTTTTGAGGATCAAGAGCCCTTCAGTCACTCCAAATGCATAAGCCCATTCTGAGATGCAAAGTCACTTGAAAGTCTATAGTTGGGCTTCACAAATATTACCACAGGTTCCACTAAAATAATTAAGCATTACAATTTGCTTATTACGGAATAGGAAAACAGAAGCATTATAAGTTAAGTGCCTGGGGAAAAGGATCTGCTCCAAACAACCAACTAGTTTGTATTTCTCTATGAACCAAGAAATCCAGGTCCACAGGTTTCCTGGGTGAAAGAACTTGCCATGAAAGTCTTCTTAAAGAAACAGGGGAAGAAAAGACATAAGCAATGAGTAGACCACAGTCTTCAAGGGATAGCTTTCCATCTTTATGCTAGGATTACAGTATCTGGATAGCTTTCCATGGGAACATAAGAGAAATGAGTGTAAAAAAAGAGCAAACAAGCTAAGATTATTTTTCATATGTTTAAGCTCCAAAAATATATATGCAAATAGAATAAACACATTCTAGAATACAGAGCCCCAAAAAAACCCATCTGTAAAAGATAAAGGCTATGTTCATATTTGGCTTCCTTTCTTCTGGCTTACATCTCAGTATTCTCTATAGGTCTATTTCCTGAAGTAACTGTACCTCAATAAATCAAAATAAAGGCAAGTTAGGCAGTCAGAAATTAAATTTGGCAGGGCAGCGTAAGATTACGAAAAAATTTGTTTAATCCTTTTTCTGATTGAGTATCTTCAGAAAAGAGAGCATCTACAACTTTTATCATCTAGTTTTGGAACTTTTAAGGAGTGCCTTTTTTTTTTTTTTTAAGAGTTTGCAAAACTATTTCACCAAATTAGTTCTTGCCATTACTGATAAGGTTCTTCCATAACTGAATTCACACACACCAGAAACCCCTCTGACACAGACTAAATGAGGGATAGCCCTATGTTTTGAAAAGAGGATCCATTCTCCCCAAACATACGTTCTCCTTCATGGAAAGTGAGTTCTCATTTTCAAACAGCTGCTTGAAATACCCGGTTCTAGACAGATAATGAATTCAGCTTCCCTTAAGAAAATATCACCATCTGCCCATACATTCATTTTTTCTAAAAAATTCAATTCAAAGCTTATACATAACTGTAATGTATGAAAAACTCTCGTGACTTTATCGTGAGTCTCGTGATGTTTGCTGCTCTCCTAAATACCATTCCTCCGAGAATCAGACAACCATATGATAAGTTTAACTTTCCCATAAACAGTTCGTGTCATGATTATAACTTTATGGAAGAAGTTAGAACATGAACTATAAGTGTTGGGGGGGGGGGGGAGGGAAGGACTTCTGTTTGTTTGTGTCTTTATTTTAAGACTCATTATTTTTAAGGTAGACTCTAACATGTACATCTCTAAGGGCTTACCTGATCATTTTTCAGTATTTGTAGTGAGCAACACTGCTATCAGTTTGCAACAGTTCAGAAATGCTAATTTTTCTGAGCAAGTGATAGATACTCTTCACAAACTTGTACAGGAGAAAAAACTTACAGATGAACTTGTTTCAGTTTTCATCCTAACATTATGCTTAGCCTTAAATAGTTAAACTGCATTATTATCTGCACTATTATTCTAATCTAAAGCAAAATCTACTGTGAGCAGTAAGAAAAAAAAAGTTACTTATCCTATGTTATCCAATGAGTTATCCAATATCTAAGTACTGCAAACAACAGCAAACAAGCAGTAAAGGAGCCTCCAATATGGTATCACACAAGACTGCCAAAGACATTGCAGCCCTTCACCACCATTCTTCTGCTCCCCTCTCCCACCACAGACTCATGTATGCTACTTCCAGGGTCAATACAGAAAAATGCTATCGGACTTAGTTCAACTCAACTGGTGATAAATTACATCTGGGGAGAGAAATCATAGAGAAGGAAGGAAAAAGCCATGTTTATACTCTTTACACTGTACAAGAAACCTTCAAATCAAAGACATGTTTACCAGGGAGGAAAGCAACACTGGAAAATAAAGAAAGCTCTACCTTTCTGCTAGCAATAAATAACTGATGTTAAGGATATACTAATTACTTATGTTCACTTGTAAATAACAGACAGTAACTTTTAGTAGACATCTATCTAAAGGTCTGAAAAAGCACAGTTTAAATTCGTTATTTTCTTCCTTCGTTTCCACCATGCTTATTATTTGGCAGTAAAATGAAACTGGTTTCTGTGCACACTGACAAAACCTGAATCCCACAATAAAGACTGGCAACCAGCTAACAACTACAGCAAGCCAAACAGCTGCTGTAGGTCCTGTAGCTGAAAACAAATACAAAAATGGGAAATAAATATTGAACAACCACCACTGGCATCTACAATCCAAAAATTACAAAGTGCTCTACCAGTGTTACCAGTGGGTCACATGCTCTGGGCTTGACAATGGCTCTGTCTCACAGCTGGGAGACGACACAGGGTTTTGGAAGCAGGTTGCCCCACCAGCAGCTCCCAATTGGTCTTCTCAAAGCCCTGCAGGTGGACATGCAAGCACAAGGCCCACCATCTCCTATTACATAGGTCCTTACCTTGACACTGCCACATTCCCAGGTACCTCAGCAGCTCCTCTGAAGCTCTATGGACCTGTCCCTGTACCTCAATCTCCATACTGAGAAGTCTAATGCAACTGCAGGAACTTAGATCTTTGATAGGGACAATATAGTACATCAATGTTTTGGCAATACATTTGGAACCGTGCCTCCACATGTGTATAAGGTTTTGAGCAGCTTCAAGGTAGACCAGAGGGCAGGAGGTGGCACCCATACAACCCAGGGATGAAGGCATCAGAACAACCCTGTCCGTGCTGTGGATAGACCAGTGTCCTGGTTTTGGCTGCGGTAGAGTTAATGTTTTTTTCCCCCCTGTAGCTGGCATAGTGCTGTGTTTTGGATTTAGTATGAGAAGAATGTTGATAACACCCTGATGGTTTAGTTGTTGCTAAGTAGTGCTTACAGTAGCCAAGGACTTTACAGCTTCCCATGCCCTGCCAGCAAGAAGCTAGGAGGGGGCACAGCCAGGACAGCTGACCCACACAGGCCAAAGGGCTATTCCAGACCATATGACATCATGCTCAGTATAGAAACCATCAGGAGTTGGCCAGGGGAGGACTGCTGCTCAGGAACTGGCTGGGCATCAGTCAGCAGGTGGTGAGCAATTGCACTGTACATCACTTATTTTGTATCTTTTTATTACTATTGTCCCTTCTTTTTCTGTCCTATTAAACTCCGTCTTTATGGCAACCCACTTATTTTACTTTTTATTTTTATTTTTTTTGATTCTCTCCCCCATCCCACTGGGGGTGGGGGAGAGTGAACAAATGGCCGTGTGGTTTTTAGCTGCCTGCTGGGTTAAATGGCAACAACCAGGCACAGATGTGACCGCGCTTGCCAAAGTCAGTGTTCTACCACAGACCCTGTGCCATTTCTACAGCAGTTTCAGTTGATGGGCAAGGCTCCTTCATCCCCCACATTCCCTGTGAAGCAGCACAGTAGACATTACACATGCAAAAGTACACGACAGTCAGGAGGTTAACAACACGGAAACAGCAGACAGAATACCAAAAAAATGTCATGGTTTTGGAGCACATGCAAAAGGCAGTTTGATGTGATAAGGGATCCTATTGCTGTACTGTTAAGGCATGGCCTTTCACATCTAAATCCAGGTTTCCATGTCACAGTGGAACAAGGATTAAGACAGCATTATCACAGCTGCAGTGGTCTTGGTCGCAAGTCCCCCCTACTGTGCTGAGGTTTAGGAAAGAGTCAGACTCAGTGAAATTCCTCCTTACACCTGCCTTGAAAAAAGGAGGGAAAAAAAGAATGGTAGTTTAGCAGCTCACAATGAAAAGAAAAAGGCCTGTGCACCAGCATTGTTTTATTCACCCACCTCTCCTAGAGAAGTAGAAGAGAGAACGCTCTCGTTCGAGCGAACTAGAGGCCACCAGTGAACCACACAGGCCTGCTGGCAGGGCCATTTGCTAGGTATTTATCTGTGGGAAGCAAGGGCACCTCACTC